CCGGGATGAATTTTGCCAGTTGAGAGTTGCATTGAAATTGAAATTCTTAGCAAAATATAAGAAACCAAAATCGGATAAATCAAAGACAAAAATAATCATTTTAAGAGTACAAATAATGAAATATTTCTATAATTGAAAAATGTATCTTATGTTGCAATATCTTTGCAGCCTCTATGTAAAAGTCAATTATAACCAATCTATCACCTACATTTATCAAAGGATTCATAAGTTCATATGCAGAATGGATCTTTATCATGTTGGGCTTAATTGTCTTTTTCCACCATCTTAGGGCTTTAACAACATATCAAAGCCAATGCCTAAAATAAAAAAATACCAATGTTGATGTCAAAAACTGTAATCATAATTCTCAACCAGCTTTAAGAAAATGTGTATTTATTGATAATTGCCTCGAAGGCTAAGCATGCAATCATTTTACAAAGAGATTGGTAAGAGTGTATTGTACTAAGTCATGAGGTAGGCCGAGCTTTGCCTTTGAAGGGGACCATTTTCCCTTATTTATAAGGACAACGAGCTTTTCATTGGCTCGCTTAGGTCTTGTCAATCACATCATCTATAGTGCCCACTGAACTATTGCATCTTCAATTTTTCAGATAAGGGTTCAGCAAGAATGTCATATGTGGAGGATGAGAGACATTTAGTAACATATTCCTCATCAGTTTCTTTGTTTTTTGCTTCTAAATCAACAATACACTTCTTCAAGGTGCTCATTTCAAGCTCTACCCATTCTAAGGGGTGTTGTGGGTTGATTTAGTGTGGATGTTTTGTGGAAAAATGAGGGCTGCTTATACAAGAGGGTTCTTATTCTAGGGCCAAACTATTGATGTCAAAAATTGCAATCGTATTTGTCGACCAACTTTAAGAAAAATGCGTATTTATTAATAATTGCTTAAGTACGTAATCATTTTACAAAGAGATTGGTAAAATTGTATTGTTTTAAGTCATAAGGTAGGCCGAGCTCTGTCTTTGGAGGGGACTATTTGCCCTTATTTATAGGGAGAATGAACTCATCATTGGCTGACTTAAGTCTTGTCAATCACATCATCTACAATGCCGAGCTCGGGGTGTGCGTCAAGCGTTTTCTAGAACGTGAATTATACTACAAGTGTACGGTGTCATGTTTTGTAATATAATAATGGAGTTAGAGTGTCAAACTCACATGGATTGTAATTCAAATTTCTACTAAGTACTATAATTATATAGCTTCTATTTTATCTAGATGAATGAATTTTATAATCAATATTCTTTTAAACTAATATGGTGACGAATTCAACAAATAAATGCAAGTTAGAAGAACAATCGAGTGAGGAAGCCTAGAGTTATGATTTCACCTACCTCTCAAATATGATTCTCAATTATATAATTATTTCTAATCAATTATATGATTCTCAATTCTTATGATCACGCCTGAACTCCCCTCTTTCGAGTGTCGAAATTGACTAGCATCAAATCATTCAACTAGTGATCAATTAATTGAAAGTATTAAAATCATAACACAAATAAATACGTGTGAAAAATCTATTAGAAATAACTAAAATTAATCAATCCATATTCTCAAGTTTTTTGCTACAATCAAGNCATTAAAATCATAACACAAATAAACACATGCGAAAAATCTAATAGAAATAACGAAAATTAATCAATCCATATTCTCAAGTTTTTTGCTACAATCAAACCCTAGATGATGAATTTAGCTCATGGTATAATCTATGAAAATACTAAAATTCATATAAAATGACATAGGGAAGAGAATAGAAAAATTAGGATATAGATCTTCAATTTCTCTCTTGTTCTTTTTTGTCTTGTTCTTGAATCTCTTAATGTTTTTCCTCCTTGTTTCTTGAAGAATTGTGTGTTGAATTCGCCCCCAAAAGTGGTCTATAGGGTTGTATTTTTATCCTCATGAAATCTTGGACGGGTTGGAGCTGTATTGAGCCAAGAAGAGAGTCCAAAAAATTCAAAAAACCTATTTCTCGCACGGCGGCACCTCGGCGCCCAATATGGAGGCTACGACGCCCATGATTCTGTTTATTTTTAGCGACGGTGGCGTTGCGGCGCCTGTTTTGGTTGGAAAAACTGCATTGCTCGTCCTTCAATATTTTTATCATAACTTTTTCTTTCGATATCCGATTGAAGCGATTCAAGATACGTTGGAAAAGATAACTCAAAGGGATAAAACTTTAGTTACTAATGTGTACAATTTAAAAACATAAAAACTTACATTGTTACTAAAAAGTAAAACATAAAAACTTACATTGTTACATCTTGGAGTTACTAATGTGTACAATTTATGTACAACCTAACCATACCATAGCCTTAGGCTCGAGGTTATGATAAACTCAAGCTCTCATTTGACTCATAATATCCTTGAAGTTTTGTGGTCGAGCTCGACCTGGTGCTCTTGGTCATGATAACCCCGAGCGCTCTCCTTGGACTAGAGCATCCTCGGGTTTCATGTGGTCAGGCTTGACCTCGACCTTGAGGCCTTTGGACACCTCGTGCCCCTTACTATCCTTCTTTCCCTCTATCACGTTCCTTAATCTAGAAGGGCTCCATTATAGCAATCATCAAGCTATCCAATTACTGCAAATCTACAATTCCAATGAAACTTTATTGTCCAACATTAATAGGACTCTCATGTCCTTCAAGACTCTAAAGTAGATGGACATTCAGGTGACCGAATCGCACCAGGATTGCACTGTCTAGCCCTCTAAAAATAGGCCCCCTAGCTCATTATTTAGATACTCTTTTACGTTGATTCAGTCATAGCCTTACGCTTATATTTACCCTTCATTAATATAAGCATCGAAGAGGCTATGATGACATACTTCAATGCCTTTATTCAAGTTTTGGAGGTCCTATTCGTGCTCAAGCTTTTTCATCAAGCTCGAGTATCGATAGTTTGAGCTTTGTCGTTGAGTTCAGGTTACAGAAGTTATGTTCGTGCTTAAACTTTGTCAATAGACTCGGGTTTCGAAAATCTGCTCAAGCTCACTCCCACTTATCAAGCTCGGGTATTCACATGTGCATATTTTTGGTAGCATCATTGGTACCGTCTGTGTAAAACGCTACCAAAAGCTATGATTAATACACCAAGTCTACGAGAATATTGTTCAAGATCCACTCTAGTTCAGTCCCTTATCGGGGATCTTCCAATCCCTCAAGTGGTGCCACCAAAGGTATCGATACCTCAACCTATAGTTGTTACTCCGGAGACATTCGAAGACCTTCGCTACAAGTTTCTATGGTAACTCAGTTTTTAATCCTATAGTACTCGCCTCCAGTGTCAATGCCCATGGCCAATTTTATGGCTGATGCTCAAGGTCGACTAACAATGTTGGTACATGGTCATCGAGTAAACTATGACTTCCTTCGACGACCTTAGCTTCGGGCGTCCATCACTATGACCTCAAATGAATTCACCAAAATCATTCAAGATGGAATAACAGTTGGTCCATGCCGGAAAACTTAGGGGTCGACGGGTTTCACTTTGAACACCCCATTCACTATCGAGAATCTGTCATATTCACTGTCGGATGGATTCAAATATCTTCGAATAAAGGAGTATGATAGAACTACCGAACGATCAATCGCCTTAATGGATTTATTGACATCATGAACCTGCAAGTCGTTCCAAACTCGATGATGTACAAAGCTTCCTACAGACTCTGACCAATGCATCCCGGGATTGGTTCTATATCCTAAAGTTCAATTCCATCGCTTCATTCTCAAATCTAGCCAACAATTTCTTGGTATTGTTTACAAGTAGCAATTGTATCAGGAAGACCATCATGTCTTTCATGCAGCTTCATCAAGGATAGAACGAGCCCCTACGTAACTTTATTACACAGTTTAATACAAAAAGGTTCCAATACCCGACCTACATGTTACATTTGTTGTCTCCACCCTCATACATGTTGTAAATCTGAGTCATTCAAGATGTCTTTATTAAAAACCCATCGAAATCTGTGAGCGAGCTCCTCATGAGGGATGAGAAATACATCAATATGGAAGAGACCATGTATCCAAGGAAATGGGGCTTGACTACTGGGAAGCTCGAATATAAAAGACTGAACGAGCCTAATATAGAGCAGGACAATCCTCTAAATAGATAGAAGTCAGATCTTTCTCCTACATCATTCACACATTTGAACACCTCGAGATCCAACATCTTGATGGAGATCAAAGTTCTCAAGGAACTCAAATGACCTTAAAGAATAAGATCTCCTCCAAATACTCGAGATAAGAGCAAGTTTTACAAATTCCATCGAGATCATGGACACACGAAGACACTTGCAATGCCTTCTAACTTGAAATTGAGTCCTTCATAAAATGGGGTTTCCTAAGGGCTTTTGTCAATTATGAAAAACGTCGAGGAATGACAACCCTAAAAAAAGAACAACCGAGGGTAACAGTTACGATCGACCTCGAACTTAACCATCAAGAAGTGCTCGATAAATTTGTGACAATAAGCAGGTCACCAAACCTTATTTAGTAGTTGTTTAGATTTTTTATTTTTTATTCATGGACTTGCACGCCACATTTTCCTTCATTCAGTTTTTCAGCCCGTATGCCCATATTTACTTTTAACATTAGTTAGAGCAAAATATCCCCGCTTGTCTTGCCATTTTTGGGATATGTTCCCATTTCGTTCATGATGTAGATTAAAAATCAAGCTTTGCCCGGCTTAAGTACCTCAAGCTTAATCGTGAACAAGCACCTCAAACCTTGCTTCATGCAAACACATTAAGTTTCAATTTATTTTTTCAAAACTCATTTTCAATCACACATTCTCCAATAAAATAATATTACACGTAAATCGATTTTTCTTTTTAATTTTTTAACCACACATCCTCCAAAAATCACTATTCAAAAAAAAAAAATATTTTTCTATGGGTTATTGGCGCGAAACGACCCAACCTAAGAAAGTCATTTTGGAAAACGTCCCAACGTTTGATTTATTANTTAGAGAGGAGAGCGTGATGGCAGCAGAAGCAACGTATCGGAGGCCCGAGATCCGGAAAGACGCTATCCACAACCGGTGGGTCATATTCTCACCGGCGAGAGCACGTCGACCTTCAGACTTCAAGTCCAAATCAGACGCAAATCCGAACTCCAATAACCAATCTGAATGCCCCTTCTGCGTGGGCCACGAGCACGAGTGTGCGCCGGAGATTTTCCGGGTCCCTCCCGACTCCACGTCCGACTGGAAAATCAGAGTCATCCAGAACCTCTATCCTGCTCTCAACCGAGAACTCAATTTTCCAAAATGCCCTTCCGATTCTAGTCAATGTAGCGGCGACGTGGCTGTGAGCGGGTTCGGGTTTCACGACGTGGTGATAGAGTCGCCGGTTCACCCGGTTCACTTGGCCGATCTTTCTCCGGCTCAGGTCGGCGATGTTTTGCTCGCTTTCAAAACCAGAATCGACCAGCTTCGCACTTTGGATTCCATCAAATATGTTCAGGTTCACCCCCCCCCCCCCCCCCCCCCCCCCCCCCCCNCCCCCCCCCCCCCCCCCCCCCCCCCCCCCATATTTTCCACTTGCTGTAGAGAAATAACCACTGACATTTTTAGTTGAGGCGAATTTATTTTGTTGAATTACTCATATGTATAGGTGTTCAAAAATCATGGTGCGTCAGCTGGTGCATCGATGAGTCATTCACACAGTCAGATAATGGCACTTCCTGTTGTTCCTTCCGCGGTCTCTGCACGCGTTGAAAGCATGAAGGAATTCTTTGAGCAGACAGGAAAATGTAGCCTCTGCCAAGTCCGGAGGGACCATTTATTGATTGATGAATCCACCCATTTCCTATCAATTGTTCCATTTGCTGCAACTTTCCCTTTTGAGATATGGACTATTCCTCGATATCACTCTTCTCATTTTCATGAGCTAGATAGCGACAAGGTATTTGCTGATTCTCTTCCTACCATTGAGTTTTGCCATATTTGTGATAGCTCAATTATGATCATGATGAAAAGAGATAGACTTTGAAAAGTTTTAATCTTGTCAATGATGAAGAATATATGTTTCTAGAGATGGATATAGTGTATGTTTGGCTAAGCATAAGAGTTTTCTTATAAGCAAACTAAGTTTTAGAGTTAATAAATTATTTGTTGGACAAAATTGAAATACATAGCTTATTTTGAGAATCTGTAACTTATTTTGAAAGTAATTTGTAACTATCAAAAAGTTAAAAACTCTTACATGCTTGAAAACAAAAGTTACTTTAACCTTTAAGCTTAGCCAAACATGACATACTTAGATATATTTATTAGTGGACACTTGAGCCTGCATTATCTAATTGTTTTTGTTTTCTTCCAAATAAATAACTTGCTGTACTTTTGACTTTCAAATAATATAGGCAGTGGATCTTGGAGGACTACTAAAACTTATGCTTGTGAAGATGTCTTCACAGTTGAACAACCCACCGTTCAATTTCATGATTCACACTGCTCCACTTCAGGTCAACCCCTCACAATTACCTTCCACTCACTGGTTTTTACAGATAGTGCCCCAGTTAAGTGGTGTGGGGGGATTTGAGATGGGGACAGGGTGTTACATAAATCCTGTTTTCCCGGAGGATGCTGCGAAAGTTTTGAGAGAAGTAAGTGTTCCAAATAATGGATGAAAAGTTTTCAAGCACATTTTTTTGCGTTAGCGCATATAATTATGAGAAATTGTTTTATGTGTGTGGGAATAAAATTTTCTGAACTTGTTATTTCAGTGTAAGTACACGTGGATTAGTTTACGATATTCAGTATTCACCTTTTTTTATGGTGTTATACCACTGTATGATATTCTGGAATTGATTGTCAGAAGTGATACTGTTGTTAAACATTGCATCTCATATTGTGTTTTGGTGGTTGTATCTAGATAAACCCATGGATTCCTTCGTGATTGGTCCCTTTTCTTCTATTGGACTACCTGTATCTTTGTTGAAATATGATGGTCGGTAATATCCTTCTGATCATCTTGAATGTCATTTTTAACCTCATACCCTGTCTTACAATTTTTTTGTTCTTTGTTTACACTAGTATTCGCAAATTATTTGTAAGATGAAAATATAACAATATTTGTATCATATCACCAAAACACAGCTATCTTGGCCTATGTAAGTAGCATCTGCATCATAGTACCATGGTTGTCCCCAAAGTACATGATAATCCATCTCTATCACTTTACACAATGTTATCTTTATAGTACTTGCTAATAGAATGCAATTTTGCACACCTCGATAATTTGAATTTCTTGCCTCTTTTAACTTGTGGAACTTGATAAAGAGATGTGTATTTTTCAGTCTTCAAATTTAAAGCTTTCACTAGTGCTTTGGATACAATATTCTCACTATTGTTGTGGTTTATTATCATGTTGCATACTTCGTTGTCGTGTTCTTGACTTGTTGAAGCAACAGCAACATCTTTGAATCTATCTATCATTCATTTCAGATTCGATTGAGGTTGGTAATTTTACAATTCTTCAATCCTCGTCGCGAGGATGCATGCTACTGCCACCATAGATGGCCAATCAGTTAAAGGGAAAACCTTACTCCAGTACTAATTTTGGTGTTTGATAAGATTTTTAGAGCACGATGCACTATCAACAACAATGTATGCAACATGATAATAGACCATGATGTAAGATAGTCTCATTTCAAATAGGATTGATTTCATTTATTTTCTTCTTATTTTTTTATTTTAAATATGATTTCTTATTTCTTTTTTATTTAGAATATGATTTCTTCTTCTTTCTTGATTAGAATAGGCCCTTTTTTTAGATTAGGATTAGGATTTTAACTTTATTTCCTTTTAGGATTTTATTTAGTTTCCTTATCTTAGTAAGATTAAGGAATTGTTATGCTTATATAAACAAAAACTTTGTGTACTTTCATCGTCAATGTCAATCAATTCAATAAAATAAAATTATTTTCTGCCATTTTTCATGTTTTTCATCGTTACTCGTTTTCATGGCAATTTCTATGTATAAGGGATCAATACGGTATTGGGTTTTTAACTTGCACATACTTTTCTACCTCTATTATAGTATCATAGTCGGTAACCGGAGAAATCCCGAATCAATTATGGGATGATTGTAATATTAGTGTATGGTATAATTAGAGTTAAGTTAGGAAATATCCTTTTTTTTTTTAAGTTAGAATATTATTTTCCTTTCTTCTCCATTTTATTGTATTATATATAGTGGCATAGAGTTGTAAAAATATATCAAGAAAGAATAAATATATTTCTTCTCATTATTGTTTATATGGTATCAGAGTCAAGTTAAATTTAAACTTGGATATCAATGGCATAGAACACGGCCAACAATAAAAACTCAGCCTCCTTTGAATTCGGAAGCAGCGAGACCGAAACCATTCCCACCATGAATTCAATTGGAATTGATAATTTCTCCTTTCAACTCACGGTGGAAAAGCTCAATGTTAGGAATTACAGAGAGTGGGCTCAATCAATTAAGTTAGTAGTCGATGAGAAAGGGGAAATTGGGTACCTTATCGGCGACACGAAGCAGCCTGCGGATCCAACACTTAAACAAAAATGGAAATCTGAATACTCCACGGTGATGTCATGGCTCGTCAACTCAATGAAGCCGTCAATTAGAAAAATTTATCTCTTCATGGCAACCGCGAAGGACATCTGTGACTCCGCTTAAGAGATGTACTCCGAAGCGGAAGATGCATCTCAAATTTTTGAAATTAAGACAAAACTTTGGAAGGCGAAGCAAGGAGAAAGGGACGTCGCTGAATACTATATGGAGATGACTACTTTATGGAAAGAATTGGATCTTAGCATCGATGGATAGTGGGATTGCTCTAGTGACAGTGTTCGATACAAGAAAAGAGTGGAAAACGAATGAGTGTGTGAATTCCTGGCTGGGTTGAACAGAGAACTCGATGATGTGAGAGGCCGGATTCTTAGTCACCGACCACTCCCGTCCACCCGCGACGTTTTCGCTGAAGTGAGGCGAGAGGAGAGTCGCTGACTTGTTATGTTGAAGAAGGATGTAACTGGGCCTGATGAAAGTGTTGATGGATCGGCCCTTTCATCCAACTCTATTGGGCCTACTAGAATTGGGCCTAAAGGAGCAGTTGTTGGATCTACTGGGTCATATGAAAATGGGCCTAAAGGAGCAGTTGTTAAAATTAGAAAAAATTTGTATGATGGACCTAAATTTGTTGGGCCTAATTTGGGAGCCCAAATGCTTAGAGGACAAAAAAAATTGGATCCAGACCAAGATAACAAACGGGTCGTCCATGGTGTGACCATTGTCGAAAACCTGGACATATAGAAGATACGTGTTGGGATTCGCATGAAAAGCCATCTGATTGGAAACCAAGACAGAACACCAGAAATCATGGCTACCAAGCTGCAGTCAATTCCTCTGAAATACATAATTCCACTTCAAGCAGTGCATTTAATCCCGAGCAACTAGAACAACTCTACAAAATGCTTTCCAACTTCCAATCACCTAACTCGTCAAGTTCTTTAGCCCACAGAGGTAATTTCCCGAGAGCCCTTAATGCCAACTCACTTTCAAAAGTATCATGGATTATTGATTCTGGTGCATTTGATCATATGACGGACTCACACCATCTATTTATTTCATGCTCACCTAGGGCATGGTTTGACATATTTGCAAATGTGTTAAAAAAATAGGGATACCAACAAGGGTAATCGGATCACACTATATTTTTTAGATTATTTGAAGATGGGACAAAGACTATTTTGATCGTATATGTTGATGACATAATTCTCATTGGATATAATACAGTCGAGATAGAAAGACTAAAAAGAGGACTAGCCACATAATTTGAAGTAAAAATCTGGGACAAATGCAATATTTTCTAGGAATGGAAGTAGTTGGATCGAAGAAGTGGATCAGTGTTTCGCAACGAAAATATGTTTTAGACCTTCGAAGTGAAGCTGGTATGCTTGAGTGTAAACCGAGTGACATTCTTATGGATACTGGAATGGAACTATCTGCATGATCTACCTTCTTACCAAAGAACAGACTGCTGATGTATTCACCAAAGGGCTGCAAAGACAAATATTCGATGATTTCGTTTGCAAGTTAGATATGATCAATATCTACGATCCAACTTGATGTGGAGTGTAGAAATCCCGAATCAATTATGCGATTGTAATATTAGTGTATGGTATAATTAGAGTTAAGTTAGGAAATATCTTTTCTTTCGTAAGTCAGAATATTATTTTCCTTTCTTCTCCCTTGTATTGTATTATATATAGTGGCATAGAGTTGTAAGAATAAATCAAGAAAGAATAAATATATTTCTTCTCATTATTGTCTATAGTAACATACTTCTAATCATATTGAATTGATGATTGAAGAGTGTACAAAGCCTTATATAGGTAAAAAATGACTTCCTAATCTTCCTAATATAAGGAAACTAAAGTAAAATTCCAATCTAGAATAAAGAAGAAATCTTATTCTAATAAAGAAAAAATGAAGAAATCATATTCTAAATAAGGAGGGAATCATATTTCAAACAAGAAGGAAGAAGAAAAAGAAGAAGATAAAACCCATCCTATTTGAAATAGGAGTGTCGTACATCATGCTATCTTTTCAGCTATGCTAAAGTAATTAGGTCATTTTTGCAGGGGAAGGAAAAAAAGAAAAGAAAACTAACTGATCCATAATAGCCAAACATACTTGACCAACTCACTCGTACATTCTCAGGTCATTTTGACATTTTCTATGTAGACAAACTTGAATGTCCTTTTAAGCATTTCAGGCATGTTTGGTTGGATTGGGCTTTATTGGAGAATGAAGAGTATTAAAGAATATCTTTGTTGTCTAATATTTGGTAACAAACGTGCACTTAATGAATATTTGACATCCCTCTTAGATTTTTAGAGTAAATTGATGGGTATATGCTCAGTATGAATCATCTATGTAACTATGGTAAATTTGTATCTGTGTTCCCAGAAAGTGGAAAATAAAGTATTATTGAAAGAAATAAGTCAGATTGTAGTTTTAGTGCAACGTTACTGTTCATTATGTCAATTGATTTGCTTGGGTCTTTTCAGATTTTAATTTCTTTTATTCATTGTCTTTCCATTATTACCATTTAAGATGATTTGTTTTAACTTGTCTATCAGGTGCTCATTGAACAAGATTCAAGTCAATGAAGTCCTTGGAGCGAGTTGTTTGAGCATGGCTGATTGGGAAAGTAACAATGATGACATTAGGTTAGTGATAGTTTTCCCAGAGAAGGTTGAAACTACATATCCGTGTGAAGTTATGGAGTTGGCTTCTCATCATGTGGCACATTCATAATGGAACTTTTGGGTAGTCTTCAGGATTTGTGTCTCTATTATAGTTCGTTGTCGCTCAAATAAAACTTCAAATGTTCTCCAAGCTAGATTATATAGTGAATGTTGTGGAGTATATATATGTAACATCTGTTCCTCGTACTGAAACATGGTGGAAAGACCAAATATACAGGGGTATCTAAATTGTCAGTGATCTCGGCTTTTTGATCATAGATAGATATGACTCTTATTAGTTCTAAAATTAGAATAACATCTTTGTACTTTTATAATTTTTCCTTCTCTTTTATTTCCATTGTTTAGTATTATTTTCGTTCTGGCACCTATATATGGATTTCACGTGATACGTCCTTTTGTGCTCGATTCCTCTTGTATAACTCGTTTCCCCACACTGTTGTCCGAAGAATTGATTGTGGGAGAAAGTAGGAAGCGTTAGTTTGAAATATAGCTTTGAGGGGGTATATAGTCATTGGAGGTGGCATGCCAGTCGTGTAGGAAATGTTAGTACTGCTTGGCAGGAGGCTGTTAAGGAAACAAGTCCAGACGATCCACTATAGTGAGGCAGGAACATTATATCAGATAGATTTAGTTAAAGACTGTTGTACCTTTTTCAATATCATATCTTGTTAGTTATGCCATTTATAACCAACATAATATGACTATAGTTAAGGAACCAAAATGAATAAAGATTGATCCTTTATTCTCAGATAATCTTGAAAATAAAGAAACAGAATTTGAATGGTTAATACATAACATGGTGGAAAGACCAAATATACGGGGGTATCTAAATTGTCAGTGATCTCGGCTTTTTGTTCATAGATAGATACGACTCTTATTAGTTCTAAAATTAGAATAACATCTTTGTACTTTTATAATTTTTCCTTCTCTTTTATTTCCATTGTTTAGTATTATTTTCGTTCTGGCACCTATATATGGATTTGACGTGATACGTCCTTTTGTGCTCGATTCCTCTTGTATAACTCGTTTCCCCACACTGTTGTCCGAAGAATTGATTGTGGGAGAAAGTAGGAAACGTTAGTTTGAAATATAGCTTTGAGGGGTATATAGTCATTGGAGGTGGCATGCCAGTCGTGTAGGAAACGTTAGTACTGCTTGGCAGGAGGCCGTTAGGGAAACAAGTCCAGACGATCCACTATAGTGAGGCAGGAACATCATATCAGACAGATTTAGTTAAAGATTATTGTACATTTTTCAATATCATATCTTGTTAGTTATGCCATTTATAACCAACATAATATGACTATAGTTAAGGAACCAAAATGAATAAAGATTGACCCTTTATTCTCAGATTACATTGAACATAAAGAAACAAAATTAGAATTGCCCAAAAATGGACCAAAATCCCGACAATAATCGACCTCCCAAACTGTTGGGTTTTGATATCCTAGGAAAGACCCTATCATCAACTTCTATTACCACCAAACATCATTCTATTCCATCTAAAAACGAGGGAGAAATCAGCATTTTAAAAAAACTGCTTGAAAATGCACAAACTGTCGGAAACTGCACTTCTGGCTACACCCATGATCGGAGCCCACTACTAGAAGAAAGCCCACACATAGGTGACATCAACCATGGCTTCAATTCATCCCAATCAACAACTCAACAGATCGAATTTTGCCCAGACAAACTGCCGATCGTGAATCTCGCGACAACGCTATGTTCAACAGCTAATTCCGACGTCTCTCTGACGACCCATGGTCGCGGACCAGCTGGGCTGGGTGCGCCCTCACCTGGCATACCTAGCCCAGCCATGGGTCTCCACCAGTTTGGCTCAAATCAACTCCAATTGGAATATGAAGTGCTCGTTGGCGCGAACTCGTGAGGGTAGAAAATGATTTCTGCTAATTCCGGTACAACCCCGACCAACCAAGGGGGCGGACCACCTGGACTGACCCTCTCCCACCCTGGTACACCTAGCCCAACCCTGGGTCCAAGCCAATTTCAACCAAAACGTGACCAATTGATGGTTGCCATTAAGGTTCTGTTCGAAAAATTCAATTTCCAAGATTTTGATGATTCTTCACTGCTCCAAATGGTTAATTCGATATTGGGGGTGGGGGTGGGGAGAACCTCAATTGGTGATGGTATAGCCATGGGCCAACAACCAATTGCGCCAATTAATGTCCACAATGCTGAAATTTATTCATCACATGTGATTGAACGTGAAACTGATTTTCAAGCTTCAATTGGTACTGATGTTGATGGTTTGGCACCAAATTCGAATTGTACTAACGTTATTGAAGGTCCTACAATCATGGGTAATGCGTCAATTGGTAGATTTGTTGATCAATTGATTTCCAATCCCACCCCTACACACATGGCAAATGAATTCCATTCACTTTCTAAGGCACCGTAATCAACTCAGTCTGCTCCCCCCCACTACAATTTCGATGCCTATGCAGCCACCCAATAGCTCGATGAAAATCTCCGCTAACTTTGAACCTCATCCTCGGGTATATCTCAAAACGAACCTTGCAGCATCCAAAGTGGTTAATGCACCTCAAAGTTTAACTCAGCAGACCAGAAATGTGCATAATAGACCTGGCCATCCTCTGCCAGCTCAGAGCTCAATTAAAACATCTGTTCCACCATTTGGAGCTGTGGGAGCTACACAAGCTCCTCGATCTTACGCTGCTGTACTCAATTGCAAACTCACGATCACACAGGCTGAGAGGAGTAAGAAGAAGTCATTTGCACATGTCCTTCGAGTCCCTGAGGACTCCAGACATCGCAGCTTGGTCTCTAAGGAACCATATATTCA